ACGGGGGGTGGGCCTTTCTGCCCTTGGCAACCCCTCTGGTGTAGATGGACCGCCATCCACATCGTCCGTTGACCTGACCTTCCCATCCAGAGCCTCATACCTGTTGTACAGAGGCACCTGGGAAGGCGAGGTGGGCAAGGAGGGGGGTCGCCTGCTGCCCCGAGCGTGGACTTGCCTCCATGATAACATCATGTTTTCAGTCAGAATTGCTGTGACTTCTGCTGATGCATGAATACTTTAATTGTGAAATTTCCAACTTGAAGCCAGATTATTTTTTATTTTAGGTATATAATTACAGCAGCGTGTAGGTAACTGAGTAATGGAAAAAAAAATCCATTTTAAGAACACAGCCTGAAAAAAAGGATAACATCATGTTTTCAGTCAGAATTGCTGTGACTTCTGCTGATGCATGAATACTTTAATTGTGAAATTTCAAACTTGAAGCCAGATTATTTTTTATTTTAGGTATATAATTACAGCAGCGTGTAGGTAACTGAGTAATGGAAAAAAAAATCCATTTTAAGAACACAGCCTGAAAAAAAGTAGTACAACTACTACAGTGATATTGTAACCTTTTTTTATATAAAGCCAAACATTTAAAGGAGGAACAGTCATCCACATAGAATATAAATCCTAGTAATTATTCTTATTTGCATGTTTTCCTGTTGAATCCAATGCTTGCAGTCACATGTTTCGGTGTTATCAACAGAATAGGTGGTTACCTGAGTATGCATAACAGGCTTTTTTCAAATCTGAAGTGATGCTTTAGCTATGTGGAACAAGCAACATTATCAGGCTATTGAGAAAATAATTCATTAAAAAATGAAGTTGTTATTAAATGTGTTTCTCTGAATTAACATTTTCAAGACCATTTTGATGCAATTTCTGGAATACACTAAGAAGTTAGTTACTTTAAGCTTTTTGAATTCTGCTGTATGCCTAGAACCAGTGAAAAATCAATGTGATTTTATAAAAGTTAAAGTAATTTGGTGCATATACACAAAAATTGTTTTTTGATAATCTTCCAGACTAAAGCTTTCTCTACAGGACATGTAGCTGAAGTTATATACAGCACACTGTCATTTTCTCTTATAGCTTACAAGTGAAAGCCAATTTTAGTATTTTCTTGAAAACCTTTCCTTTACAATTAAAAGAAAAAAGAAATGCAGTCTCTGCAAAATGGGAAAAAAAAAAATTTCCAAGTATACAGTTTTTGTTTTGTTTCTTTTTTTATATTTATGATCTTTTACCCACCTTCAATTTTGGATTCTTAAGTAATGGCTTTCTTTGTAGTGCTCTACTAACCTCAGAGTTGTTGAGATCCTGTCCTTTTCTCAATTTAAATGAGGCTGATTAGAAATGCTCAGTTATTGTTTTTCTCAAATTAATACTAATACTGTGATTCACTGCATTAGGTTATTGTATTTTTGAGAAGTCGCATTCATTGTTGTTCAGAGTTCTAAACTAGTATTTTCCTGCTAAGTTAAGAATATATTTTTCTGTCCCGAGAAAGCCTTTACTTTTTAGAAGAAATGTTCCAAAAAATCTCTAGCTTACTGCTTTTGTTTTACTATTGCATACCGGTTTACCACATGGCAAACTAAAATGTTTTCACTTTAAATAACAAAACCTGCAATATGGGTAGCTCCCACTCCAGTTAAAACATTAATAATCCCATTCTGGGAACAAGTGGAAAGCAGGGGGGGATGTTCTGCATTATTCTCAATCCAGAGAACTGTATTAACCTATCAAGTTTTACTTACCTGATTTAGTATTTGTTGGGATATATATAATCAGCCTGAAAACATTCAATTTTTTTTTAGAAACAAGGATATTTCTTGCAAAAATGCCAGTGCTGTATGCTATACTAGAACAATTTAATGTAGGTTAATATTAATCAAGTCAATAAATGCCTTGAGAGAAGAAAGAAATGTGCTCATTTAGCACAAACTACTGAACAGGAATAAAGCATGAAAGATCTTAAACTGCTAAATTATTTCACTTTTAGCATTGAAGACACAAATAGTGTGTGGTTTTTAATACTAATACTCTGTCAAGAAACTAATAATTGATAATTTGATCACTGCACCATATTTCTCGCGTGTGTGTGCATATATAGAGAGATACCTCCTATCCATTGTAGGAAACGTTTTGTACCACGACTGAAGTTTATCTTATTCTCATTGCATTATGGCTGCTTCTGAGCAGTATTTCTAAGTGGTTGGCAAAAGCTGTGCTTGTAGCTCATTTACACTCTGTACCAAACGTGATGCACGTCTCCAGAGCTGTGGGAGTCATCCCTTGCACATAAGTCACGTGCAAGGTGCTGTGTTGTTGCTGTTCGTAGTAGTGCTTCTCCTCTTCGCTTGTCCCCTCTCTGTAAGGAAGCCTACTGACAATAGAACAATCATACTGTTGCTTGTGGTATTATGAAAGGTACACAATAGAAGATAGACATAAAATAATTTAGCTGCATAGCTATGCCAAAACCTCATGCTGTCCGGTAACTGCAGTAAGGCAAATTAAAATAAATTGTGTTTCTAGCCAAATCTGGCAAAAAAATTCTTAGCTGTAAGTCTCTAGTGTTCTTTGTCTACAATTTAAAGGTTTTTATTTAATATAGCATAATCAGCAAACCTATTGTTGGTGCTTATGTTCTTTTGTAGTACAGTTTGTTAGGTAAAACTCAACTGTTGTTAAGAGGTATAAAGTTGCCAGAAAACAGTTCTCTGGAGGGATGAAAGTGGAGGAGGGAGTAAGGAAAATTCCTTTTTTGGTTTGGTACTGTACGGCGTTAAAACAAATGTTTTTCTGAAATATTTTACAAAAAAAAAAGAAAAACCAGCCCAGGTACAGTGTAGCAAGTCTCCCACTGTTTGGTTTTGAGAAGAAATTCAGTTCTAAGCTAAACAGTTTTGCAGTGTAGTTTTTCAACTAAACAGGCTATTTATACGAGGCCTGCTATTAATCAAAAATGTCTGTTGATTTCTGGTGCTAGAAGTGAGTTCTTCATATTCCCTTCTTATTCGTAGTAAATTTACTTTAGCTTTTGATGTGTCTTACAGTTAGCAGATACATAAGAATCCGCATATTGCTGGAGATAGCATAATACTGTCTTTCAGGAATATGGCCAGCATATCTATGTAAACAATGTCCTCCAAATATCTTTAATATAATTTTGGAAATAAGTATGCATTTCAGTCCTTAGTAGTGTAGAATAGTTTCAAACTTAGGCTGTGTTTTTCTAAGAGGGCAGAGTAATTTAAACCCACAAGTACTATTTTTAGCACCTGTGAAAGTACATGGACAAGACTAAGTTTAGTGCTTTCATGGTAGTATAATACAAACAGTCTTCCAGGTTCTTGGCTCTGTTCCTTGCTTTCAGCAGGAGGTGGAGAAGAAAAGGAACAATTCAAGGTGACCCATGTAATTACTAAAACCCTGTTAAAATTTCCTCCCGTTGCCTTTAGGGAGGTGTGTAGTGACGAAGTGTCATGTGAAGGAGGCTATCAGTATGAGCCTTAGCACCTGAATACTTTCGTTTTGTTTCCTAAAGAAATAAAGCTTGTACAGGTCTGCTGTCTTTTTCTTGTCAGTCTTCCAGAGCCCAACACCTGCCTTCCCTCCCTCAATTTTTAAAGCTTTTGGCCAATTTGAGGACGGGGTACTGAAGACAAGAAATTGCTGCAAGGTTTATGAAACTAGTTGGCCAGAGACAAAATAGCGTATGATATCTCTCACGAGGGAAAAGCCTGTGCTCCTTCCCTTCTTAGATGTCTGAGAAGCCACAGGGGCATTCAGCTGAAAAAGCAGCTGGCAGGAGGCTATGCTTTCTTGTTCCTGCTACTTGTGCAGGTACTCTTTCCAGCAGCTGACTCTGACTTTATGGAGTGCTCGAGAGTTCCTGAGACTTACTAATGTTAAAACAGAGTTAGCACAGCAATAACACTTGACAGTTAAAAAGCTGCACTGGATGGAAACCAAATAGCTTGTCCATCTTTTTGCCTTTTATCTGAGTATGTTGTTACTCTATGCAGTTGACTGAGTGGAATAAAAAAGTGTCTTTTAAATAATTAACATTGATTTAATGGTCTTACCTTTCTATTTGGCAACGAGAACAAGGGCATCTTAAAATTGCTAGGATGAAAATTCATGTGAAACATACATCAAAAACTAATGTTTTATTAGCTTGTTATCAGCAGTCTAGTTCTTTAGTAACATCCCATGTTGCTATAAAATACAATTTTAGCATAAACTTAAATGGATTTAATTATGACTCTCATATACTTACTGACGTTCAATAAAATTGTACGTCTCAGATTGGCTGTGGATGTTCACCATGAAGTTCAACAAAGCCATTCAGACTTAGGAGTCCAGAAGTTAGTCATGCTGCTTTAAAAGCTGTTTCAAAATTTACTAGAAATAAGCTGCTTCAAGAACTTGAGGTTGGTTTTTTTTAAATTATCTTTATCCTTTCATTTTAGGAGCAAGAGCTTAGTGCTCGAACACAAGCACTTCAAGCTGCCTCAGCCTCATGCTCTTTCCGACCCAATGGATTTGATGACAACGACCCCCCGGGAAGTTGTGGACCGACAGGTGGAGGAGGAGGGGGTGGGTTCAGTACTGTTGGTAGATTAGTCTTTTGACTATGAAGACAACCTGGAATACACTGGTTCCAAAGCAGCCCGGTACTGCTGAGGACAACTATAATATTGAACTTTGTCAGATATTGTACCAAGTTTTGAGACTTTATCCTTGTTCAAAAGCAAATGTTGGGGTTTTTTTGGTTATGTTTTATTTGAAATAAATAAGTGCATAATGGAAAAAAACTACCTCTTAAAAATTCAGTTGCTTTTATAGTAAGATATGCTTGCCCAAAAGACAGAAAATTGAGATTTTTAAGTAGTTGCTAATGACACTGCATTAAACTGAACAAACGCACTTACATCAGTTTCTATTGTCCTCATCCACTGAATGAAGAAAGTTCATTTTTTTTTTTTTACTCTGGCAGTATTGCTTTATATGGAAATCCTTTCAGATGGGCTAAACTGCATACATATTCTCTCACCCCCACCTTATTGTCAAATCCGGTACCTTTATGGATTTCCAGAGATGATGCAATTTATAATGAAGGCAATAACTTAAATATGACATGATACAGTACTTTCCAGATTAAAAATTATTCAATGTATTTCCAGTGTACTCTTGCAGTATTGCTTTATGTGGAAATCCTTTCAGATGGGCTAAACTGCATACATATTCTCTCACCCCCACCTTATTGTCAAATCCGGTACCTTTATGGATTTCCAGAGATGATGCAATTTATAATGAAGGCAATAACTTAAATATGACATGATACAGTACTTTCCAGATTAAAAATTATTCAATGTATTTCCAGTGTAAATGTAAAGAAGAAAAAATAATTTATAAATATTTGCTAAGTTGTTTTCAAAAAAAGTGCATGTTCTGTAGGAACAATGTTTTTAAATAGAAATTGTTAACTTTGTAGCATTTCTAATTGTTTTGAGGATTTTAAAATTATTTCAGGGAATATATCTGCTGTGTATTGGAAAGGAAAAGATTCTGTATGTGCCTTGCAGTACTGTAACTTAAAACAAACTTTCTGAGGCTGCAGAAAAGGGGAAAAATGTGTTAGTAGTCAATGATTTTTTTTTGTCAGTATTAGAAATCAGTACATTTATAGAAAGCTATTAGGTTTCCAGAAGTAAAAATCTGGTAGTTTGAAATGCAGTAAGTGTGTTGCCCATTATTTTTTGATTAAAAAAATATACATACCTAGTGATCTATAACTTTCGTGGCCTGCATTGCTAAGAAAAGGCTGGTCATAAACACTGAGCGATGTTTGTGAAATCACAGAGAGGTTACCTGCATTGATCCTTGCTGAGGATCTCTGCTTCTAAGAGTCCTTTGAAGTTTTGCCTTCTGATTTAGCTTGTAGTGAGAAATTTCTGGTGAGTTCATGTTTTAACTGTCTGGAGAAGACCAAAATGATGCTGTCTATGGAGCAGTGTTTGCTTGCTTGTTAGGCCAGCAGCGGTTGAGGATCTGCTCTTTCAGTCTTGGCAGAAGTAGCAACTTTGGTTTTGATGTGCAGTGAGGATAACAGAAGTAAAGGAGTTACACTGTTGAATCTGGTGATTAATTCTTAACTTGAATAATCTTATAGTGAAGTGTAAATTTATTTAAAGTATTTTTACAAAATTCTGCACTGTTTTACTGTGGTTTTATATTCTACTAGGTGACGAAGTGCATCCTTAAAAAGCATGCAAACCTAGCAGGTGTTAGCTTAACTGTACAAAATAAACAAATTTCTTAGAAAATGCCTTTAAAAAGCATAAAATAAGTTGAGAAAATTAAACCTTGTTCATATGATATCAAATATATGGAGTTTAGTCTGAAAGGTAACTTAGCTTGCAAGCTATTTTTATATTATCACTACAACTATGCTATTTGCTCTGCTATAGTTTCATATGTTACCGCTCAAGAAAGCTAGAGCAGGTCACTCATTTTTTTAATAGTTTCCAAGCTTTGTTTTGACCGTTCGTAGTACCTCGGCTTTGACCTACACTTTCATTGCTATCTCAGTTGTAGGTCTCTGAACCAGGGGTTCAGCTGTGGAAATGTGGAGTGTTATGAGACTAGTGTGAGGAACGTTCTTATTTCGTTGTGCTTGGACGAGGTTTTCTTGAAAGCTGACTTCGCCTTGAAATTCTGTAACTTTCAGTCTAAGAGGGTTTTTTATTTCCTTTTAGGCTTCTCTGCCAGTTAGCTCTGGTTTTAAAATGTTTTGTATGACAGGTTAATTTGGCTTTTCTCTCCCAAATTACGAGGACACACTAAAAAGCTGCCTACTGTTTGCATTACAATGGGATTATTTTGTCTCTGTCAATTTACTCTCTCAATTTACTGTTCATTTTAAAACACTAGTAAGTAGAAGCAGGGGCAAGTGTTTTTACTCTATATGAAATCATAATTTTGTAAAGGTCAGTTTTGATTTTATGTTCTCACAGTAAAAATACAAATTAGTAGCCTACCTAAAAATAACGTGCCATATGAGTTTTGTATACCTATTGTACTATATTTGTTTCATGAGCTCTTAGAAGGCTTTCTACACCTTTGTTTGCCTGTTCTAAATTAGGTGTTAAATATGGAAATTTTATACGAGAGTAATGCCAATAGGGTTGGATCTCCTTAGGTATAAAGTGATGGTATGTCTCAAACTGAAAATAACTTCTTTCTTTCCCCTTGTTGACTTCCATTGATGCAGTTACTTTGCGTTTTACAAATAGATTTTAAAATTCAGAATACCTATTTGCAAGTCTGCTTGCTGACCTGATAACTGTCGTAGGCCGATTCATACCTAACTTGGAAGGTTTCAATAAAACTAGTGAAAGTGGAGAATTATTTCACGCTCTAAAATGTACACCTTTTTTCATTGTTTACAGTAATGGTGTTGCATGCTCCTATCTTCTGGACATAATATGAGAGAACAATGTACATATGGTACTTCAGTTTCTGTTGCCTGTGAATGAATGCTGGATGGTTTGTTTATTGACCTTTTTGGCTCCATTCTTAATTTGTTTTCTATCTAAGTTGAATCAGTAGAAAGAAACAAAATACATAATACTGTTTCTGAAACTTAGGTTTTTTTGTTGTTTCCTTTCATGAAGGTTACACTATTGTACCAAACTCAAGGATGGTATGTCTTTTAAAATCATATTTCCTTTTAACAAGACAGATTGTGTCTTAGTCTTTGTTTTAATGGTCAGTGGAGCTGTATTAACTTTCTTCCATACAGTTAATTTTGTACAGTTTTTTCATGTGGAGCATTACAGTGGATTGTTGTGAATGTCACCCCTGTAACAAGTGATTAAATATTTACAAGCTCGTTTATCCAGGATGAGAAGAAAAAAGGCTTCTTTGGATAACTAAACAAATTGCACCTTCTGGCTAGCTCTTTTTCCTTCCTTTTTTTCCCCCCCTTGCTCCCTACTCTGGAAAGTTAAATACTTTATCTTCTGTATGCTCTGGAAGTTTAATTTCATGGGTAAGCCTTTTTTTTTTATCTGTAGCAGTAAGGTTGTTTATGGAGTCAGAATACTACTATTTTTTGTACAAATGACAGGCAAAGGGCAGAAGCACTGTGAGCTAAAGGAGTGTTAGAACAAAAGCAAGTGGGTATAAACTTTCTGTAAATAAGATTTAGATTAGAAACAAAGTTCCTAATTACTAGAACTAATTCTGGAACAGCCTTCCAGGCAGAGACCTGCTTTGAAGGAAGAGCCAAGTATATCTATGAAAGAAATTAAATGCAAAGTGGTGTCTGAATAGTAGGCAACTAGACTTGATAAACCAGAGGTCCCTCCTAGTCCCTTCCTAGAGTTTTGCTCTTCTGCTGGGTTTCCCATCTTGACACATTGCCAGTTTTGTTTTTAAGGCTCAAAGATTAAAGTGGAAATGAAGGGTATACTAAACTATGACATAACAACAACAAAGGTTGACTGCTCAGTTTTGGGTGGTGTTGGTCTCTGGTTTAGGGAAGTGAAGCATAAAAATTATGAAGTGATGGAAAGTGGAAGCTAGGAAGACTTGTGATCCAAAGAAATGTGCTCAGTTTCTAGCACAAGGGCAATTTCCTGGTTAGCAACCTACTATGGGATGTAATGGGTTGTAGCACTTCATATCCTCAGGCTGTAATCACATGGAAATTATTGGACTTTTTCAATGGGTGAGCAAATGATCTATGATCTAAACAAGAGATCAGAATAGATGGTCTTAAAAACCTTCATGTTTCCTACAGCCAGTCATCATAGGTCTACCTTAATCCAAATTCATAGCTATGAGTAATATGCTCTTAAGTCGCATAGGTGTCAGGTCAAATGTAACAGTTGAGAACTGAAAATTGCGTGACACTGTTTGGCTTGTGTACAACACTGTGTTCTGCGTGGACTTAAGAACTAGCGCGTATCCCTGTTTCAGCAAGTGGGTTGAAGAGACTTGGCCCGTGAGCTGAGCTCTGGCTGTGATCAGTATGTCAGCTGTGATGTGTAGTGTAGCATTGGCTTACCAGACGTGCTTTTTATTTTTTTAAATGCACACACATTCCCCCCATTCACTGTGTGAGTCTTGCTTTTGCTTGAATGAGAGTATCCAGATCAAAGGGAAAACAAAGCTAGCCAGAGTGAAGCAGAGATGACCGGTTTTAAGTACAATATGCCGTTTTCTTATTTAAAACGGAAGTATTTTTTTCTAAGTCTGCTGGATTGTAGGCAAGTATGTGGATTCAGGATACATATTTCTTGTTCCTTTTTTTTTCAGTGTGGGTAATATTTTTAGGAATCAGTTGTAAAAGTGCTGGAATAGGCATGTCAAAATGCACAACCTGCTCCTGCTGCCTTGGTAAACAGCATGCCGCCACATGCGCTGAAATGCTGGGATACTTGCTGGCTGGCTTCCTCAGACGCTAACTGGGAAGAGCAGCTGCCGCCTGTGAACTGTGCCTTGCTGGGTGGCCATTTGGAACCTTCGCCATCATCTGCATCTGTGGGTGGCCAGAGGCAGCCACCCTGGGGCGCTGCCTCAGCATGTGTCTCTGCAGCGGGGGCCGCAAGAGGAGTCTGAGGTGTAACAGCCAGCCCCACTGTTCAGGTGCTAGCTCAAGTGGGGCACAGTCCCCAGCCCCCTCAGCAACACCTCCAGGCCCAGAGCGGGTAACTCGGGGACCCCTTGCAGCGCTGACAGAGACCGGCACCTGTGGCAAGCAGCACACAGAGGTCGGGTGGTTGCACATGGAGTCGGTGTGTGGGAAGGAGGGGCAGGGGGGTGGTGAGGGAGAGGTGCTGGTGCAAGACTAAAATGAGACTACCAAACTGCAAAAAGGAAAGGGTGGCTCTAATGTGATTTAGAAGTTGCACGTTTTAATGATAACTTCACATGTATCTGCTATAAAGTTGTAACTTTAGTGTAATTCCACCAAAGGATACTCTGTCAACAATGCTTTGTTATCCGAGCCTAATCCTTCTAAAATTTCCATTATAGCAGCGTGCTTGAGGGGAAAAAAAATCTGAATAGGCATATTGAAAACATGCTGCTGAGGAGAGTATTTCAGATTGACGTTAAAAAATTAATTCAGCAACAGGATATGCGATGGAGCTAGCAGCTGTAGTATCTTAC